TTAATAAAATTTTGCAGTATAGCTTTTTAAAGTTTGTATTTTCTTATAATCTATTATAAGATTTATAACACAAAAATCGATTTTCTGAAGATCTTTTGTTTTGTCAATTTCGTTCCTTTTTCCAGCACCTAGCCCATATGATTTCGAAGTCTTGCAACAATCTCTATGAAAAAGTGATCCGGTATGTGATACATGTATCATTGTATATCAAATATAGAGGATATTTCGCATTGATTCTTAATATGAAATTGCTGAAGCATCTCAGAAATTTCATATCAAAAATCAATACGAAATACTTTCAGTCAAGCTGAAATAATCTACTACATTTGTAGATAGTATGCTGTTTGACTATAAGGCTATAAAATCCGAGCTATTTACATTCAGGTATTTGATAAATCACGTGCTAAACCATGCCTTTATGAATTAGTTAGTACTGCATACTTTTCTCAGCGCATTCAGTCTTAAAAGTTGCAGCCTCTAAAAAGAAAACATATGCTAGCATATCGAATAGAATTTTATAGATCTTAAACAGAACTATAAATTTTCTAAATTTTTTTGAGAAATAGAAGAATTTGGATGCATTTAAGGTGTTCGCTCCATATTGATATCAAGTGTATTATAATTTACCTCACTATTAATAGGTTCTAATATCAACACCAAAATGAGTGAAAGACCAGCGACTAGCAACACCAAGAAATATTCTGCGTTGAGATTTGTACCAAATTCTAGGCAATACCGATAAAGAATTGCTACGGTAGAAATTAATACGAGAGAATATAGTATTTTTAAGTGAATGCTAATATGTAAATCCCTGCATAGTTGTGGAATTAGGATAAGGGCAAGCGCTAATGCAGTTGCATAAATCTGTAAAAATATTAATTGAGAATATAAATCAGCAAATTAATCAAACTAATAAGTGCAATGACATACCCAGGCAATAAGCCAAACGTTGTGTTGAAGCTCTATCGAACCTTGATACATAATTACATGTAGTGACCATATTATCAATATTACAACGCTGACAACTAATCTCCAATCGCTAGCACGATTAGTAAATATGTGATCGTTGTTATTATTAACGTTTGTATCTGCTTCACCATCAAATAAAGGTTCATAAAAAGTTCTTTTTTGAGCCTGTTTAATATAAGCTATTTCTATGACAAAAATTGAGATGATGATATACAAGAATAGAATTGTCTCCGAGTTCGAAAATAGGAGTTCCAACAGTTTCAACATGTGGATTAACGGTATTTATTGCTGTTAATAAACTTGTAAGTAAATTTAAAATAATTAAATTAGGATGCCTTGCAGTATTATTTATTTATATTGACTTGGAATAAATACGCCGCGGAGGTAGATTGAAAATAAAAGTATCCTTTATATTTTCCTTGCAATATATTATGAAAAATTGAAATCAAGGAATTAAATTTGAAAGAAAGAAGTTTCAGATATATATATATGTCAGTTGATTCGGAATTTTTAAGGTAGGGTTGGGATTTTAGTATAATTATTCCGTTCTAACCTAAGTGGATTCCGAACCTATTATAGTTCCATTCCCACTTACAATATATATATATATGGCAAAATGAACCTTTGTGCATAATTACGGTCGGGATTTTATATTGCGTTAGAACAAAGCAAGTAAGAAAGAAGTGAACTTCTAGAAATTCTACTGATATGATCTCGTTGATTTGATTTCATTTGAATTGTTAACAGACATGCACGGATATTGATCAAAATTTTCTATTTATGGCTTGAATTCCGAAATTAGAAAATAAATAGAAATATAATACGCATTATGATATATTTCAAAACAAATATGTCATTAATTTTATTCGAAGTCAGAAATCTAATCATTAATTCTGAATAACTCTATTTAGCGTAAATTATGACAAAGGAAATTAGGAAAGTGTACTAGTCTTGAGAACTACACAATTCTAGAAATTCTATAAAAACGTTCTAATTGATTAATAAAATGGTATAGATGTATAAATAAGAAAAGGAATAGACAAATTATTAAGAAAAACTTAGCCACAACCTTTGTTTTGATAGTGTTACGCAAGCAAAGTGGAGATCAGAACAGGTGAGGTCAATTGTGTTGCTTATATCCGCATATATGCGATTAGGGGTTTTGAAATAATGGAGTTAAAAGTCCGGTTTAAAATTTCAAATTGGAAAATAAATAGGTGATAAAATTAGCTTTTTTTTGATAAATATCTACCGGTAAGCAAGCAATTATGTAAATTATGTGAAACTGGAAAAGTGTGACCCTAGGACTAAGACCATACAAAGTTGATTTTTCTGTTTGCATTACATAGATTCCAAAATTCCGGTCTGATTTTTTTTTTTTTAAATTAATAGACCATATAAGGTCACGCAAAATTAATTTTTTTTTTGCATAACATGGAATCAGAGAATTGGTTTGTCGGTCATATCGGATAATACCGAGAAAATAAGGTCTCTATCGGATGATATCGGATTAATTATGGAAAAAAATTAAATGGCAAAAATAGAATAATTGACGCAATTGGGACTTAAAAAATTTTTTTTTGAAAATTTAGAAAAATGTGTCGGCGGGCAATGCTAATCCAATTAACAAAATTCAAACCAACCTTATCAAAAGGAGAAATTTAGATCTGGAACGTAGGCAAAATAATTGGATGAGTGAAGATAATTCTACAGTGCTAATTAGTAAAATATCGGAGAGTGGATCATTAAAATTAACAATTATTCGTAAGTTCAACACTCCGACTTGGAAAGTCTAAAGCTTTATATAATTTTGATTAGTTAATTAAAATTAGTGTAAGGAAGTTAGGGTGAGGATAAGTCCGATAGGTTAGATAACCTTCCTAACATTTTTTCAAGGCAGGTTTAGAGACTCGTTTTTTGTATATCTTGCATTTTTTATTTTTTTCTTTTTGTCATGCTGATGCGGGTTAATTAAAATTTACGGCTTGAATGGTTGTTTGTCACGTGAACGCACCTGGCTCCTTTTATTTGGGCATAAATTTTTGCTGAAAATACAACGAGTGTTTAAATCTGTCTTGAGATTGATAAAAAAATGCCAGGGAAGCGATTTTACCTATAATATCTGCTCAATCCTTAACTTTAATACTAGAACTAGTCCTAATTTCGTTTTAAATACGCTTCCAGATAAGGAAATCAAAAAATGAGCAATATCGATATCGGAGTCATATTTAGGGATTTTTATATACATATCAAGAATGCAATTTATGCACTATGTAGATCATATATTGAATTAACTCCACTCTAACCAATTAGGTGTAACTTAACTGTATTTAAAAAATACAAGAATCAAACAGATTACGCAAATTTTCGGATCAGTCCGACAAAACAAAGCCATCTGGGTGAGTTAAAAAAAAGCAACCCACCCGGTTGTCCCTTGTTATTATATTTTTAAGTAATAGTATATCCTTGGTATCTATATCATCTATCTATATCATTTAATTCTGGGTGTGTAGGTTTTAACTTTTTTGAGATCCGAAAAATGTGATATGAAACGTGATCAAAGTGGGAAAATCAATTAATTATTACGACATTTGTTATGCGGGTAACCGAAAAAGACATAAAATTACGACATTTTTCATAATCGATATCATAATTGGAAATTAATTATGTTACAGTACATATGTAGTATGATGTAATATTTTATTCTGGAATCATAATTGTATCCTAATTCCAAAATTGTGAAATAGTTCACCGGCCTAATGATGGCCTTGCTGACCTTAAATGAATTAATAGCTGCTCTATATGTAAGTATCGAAGCAGCTTTTGTCTTGGATCATGTGACATCCGATCGAAAACGGAAAGGGACGCAAAACTTACGTTTTGATATTTACCCTAGGTGCCGCACAAAAAATGCGCGGCAGATCCTCGATTTTGATTGGCTAACGGCCGAAGATCTTCGA